TTCATTTTGATCACTTCAAAAAATCTTGTGGATGCTCTAGAGGCTAAGTTAATATCTGATTGACTTTAAATTTATACACAGTGTTTGAGGTCATGAAACGAAGAATCCTATTGATTTTCAAAGATTTCCGATAATTACTGCCAAGGTTATGACCCTTGATCACTTTGAAAAATCTTGTGGACGCTATAGAGAAATGAAATGAAATGAAATGGGGTTTAATGTCCTACTGTTCTGCTCCTATACTGGGCTAATGAAGACGGGCATACGCCATACAGTGTGCTATGAGGGGAATTTTGCCCGGGGCAGCGGCACTTTCGCCTACTCTTATATCGAATTCCAACTGCCAAGGGATCTTTTACGTGCATTCTAATGTATACATGGGACCTCGGTTTTTTCGTATCATCCAAGGGACTAGACAGCTGTCCTTGTCAGGCCCTCCATTCTGCACCACTGACAAGGGGAAACCACGTCGGAAAATCAGGATGAACTTTCTCGGCCAATGCAGGGATCGAACACCCGACCTCCAGGCTAGCGAGCCAGCGTCTTAACCACCTAGCCACCGTGGCTCCGACGCTCTAGGGGCTAAAGTTAATATCCGATTGACTTTAAATTGAAACACTGTGTTTGAGGTCATGAGACGAAAAATCCTATTGATTTTCAGCGATTTCCAATAATTTTTGCCAGAGTTATGACCCTTGATCACTTTCAAAAATCTTGTGGACGCTCTAGAGGTCAATGTCCGAATGATTTTAAATTTTTACACATGAGACAAAGAATCCTATTGATTTTCAGTGATTTCCGATAATTACTGCCAGAGTTATGGTCCTTGATCACTTTAAAAAATCTTGTTGACGCTCTAGAGCCTAAAGTTAATATTGACTTTAGATTTATACACAATATTTGAGGTCATGAGACGAAGAAGCCTATTGATTTTCAACGATTTCGGATAATTGATTTTCAACAATTTCGGATAATTACTGTCAGAGTTATGGCCCTTGATCATTTTGAAAAATCTTGTGATGCTCTAGAGGCTAAAGTTATCATTCGATTGACTTCAGATTGATACTTAGAAGAAGTATATTGATTATCAGTGAATCTTTATGACTTGAACAGCTAAATGCATGATGTTAAATGTTTCATATACTAAACGTTAGCATGGGGCAGAACTTTATAAAAAACCAAACAAATTCTAATGATTTTCTGATAATTACTTTATGAGTTGTTACTCTTAATCAGATTTTAATGTATTATAAATGTTTAATTACCAAAAAAAGTAAAAATATGCGACAACTCTTGTTGACTCCCCAGATGATTTAGCTGCTGTGGGCGTATGTTTCGTTGCCTGGCAACCTATCTTTATACTTATTCCTTATACCCTGAGGCTGACTTCTATTGTTATTTTTGATGCATGCCCGCCCCCCCCCCCCCTGGGACAGAGCCACACCCAATGTTTGTGCCTTAATTCTTAACAGATCCTCTTGAAGGATGACCCCTATTGTTTTTGGGTGATTGCCCAACCCCCAGGGGCAGAGCTACACCCATTTTGTCTTTGTGTCTCTGTGTGTTGCCTACTGGCCACGATTCTTAATGGGTTGTCTTTGAACTTGGGATATGTATTCCTTATAGCCTAATACGACAACTGCATTTCCCGACCCCCAGGGGCAGAGCTACTTCCAATTTTTGTGTTTATCGTTTACAGGCCACAATTCTGAATGCACTTGTTACTTGGCATATGTATTCCTTATAGCCTAAGGGCATCAACTATTGATTTTGGTGAATGCCCCGACCTCTAGGGGTCAAGTCATGCCCAATTTTTGCCTTTAGCGCCCCAAGGCCACAATTCTGAATGGATTATCTTGGAACTTTGTATACTTATTCCTTATATGACCCCCTCCAAAAAAATTATAAAAAATAAATATTATAGTACATGGACTTAACCCGCTAAATGTGTAGTTTTTAAAAAGTTAACTACCCCCTATTGTGTAATTAATTTGACGAAAAGTGTCATTTTTGGACCTTTTTATTCCTGAATACAAATGATAGTAGTCTGAAACCATATTAAAACTAATGGTAAATAGAGTTGTCCCCCTTCAATTAGATTTCCTCGACCAGGTGTAATATAACGTCCTACACATGCTGTGATCGTATGTTCGAAGAATAGGTTGGGGAAAATACCTCCAAGGCGTTATATTACGCCCTACACACGGTGAGTGGCAGTTGTCCAGGACGTTATATAACGCCCTACGCATTTAACGTGTTAAGCTAACAAATCCAAAATTATACCTCTCTAGGCCGCAAAGTCGCTGAGATATGGCCATTTGAAATTAGGGTACTGAAACGGATCATGAATTCAGTAATTTTTTTCAGGTTTTTGGGTGCTTTTAACATTTTTAATAGGAGTAGAACTCTCTAACTTTGTAATCTAAGACAACTTTTGGTATAGATTATGAATTTAGCATCACACTCATTGTACAATGCATACTGTTCGCGCCACCAGGTGGCAAAATGTGGAACAAATGAACTATTTAATTTTATTTTCAGGATTTCTACAGCCTCTGGCAAAGTCACTATTGTATACACAAACTTCAAAATTAGCATAGTTAATGTCAGTTTGTCTTATATCAATTTACAAAAGATTTTATGTCGATGGGATATATACTTTTCCAAATTTTCAGTCTCGAAATTCAATGCACACTGAAAAGGTACAAAATATACCCATTTTCACCTCCAATTTTGGCCATGTGGGACAGAGGTTAATATTCCGAAAAAGTTTGATAATAAAACATGAATTACCCTACTATAACATACATTAAAGTCCATGTTGTGTATTTGATTGTTTATATTTTTAATTGGCACTTGAAATCTATGCGGTGATGAAGTTTTAATGAGTTTAAAGCATCGGAAAACCTGAAAAAAATTACTGAATTTATGATATGCTTCAGTACTCTAATTTCAAATGGCCATATCTCATCGAGTGACCAGCTTATAGTGGTAAAATTTCGGATTTCTTAGTGTAAGACCATATACTACAACATATATTTTTATAATTAGAGTTATGACCCTTGTTTCACTTTGTTGAATCTTGTGAACACTCTAATGACATCAGTTATCATCCGATCTGTTTGAAATTGATATGCATCATTTAAATTTGTGAAATGAAGAAGCCTATTGAATTTCAGCAATTTCCGTTAATTTCTTCTGGAGTTATGGCCCTTGTTTCACTTTGTTGCACCTTATGAACGCTCTAACGACAAAAGTTATCAACCGATCTGTATGAAATTTATATGCAATCTAGTGTTATGGCCCTTGTTTCACTTTGTTGAATCTTGTGAACGCTCTAATGCCAACAGTTATCATCCAATCTGTTTGAAATTGATATGCATCATTTAAATTAGTGAAATGAAGAAACCTATTGAATTTCAGCAATTTCCGTTAATTTCTTCTGGAGTTATGGCCCTTGTTTCACTTTGTTGCACCTTGTGAATGCTCTAACGACAAAAGTTATCAACCGATCTGTATGAAATTTACATGTATCATTTAAATTAGTAAAACAAAGAAACCTGGTGAATTTCAGCACTCTCCGTTAATTACATCTAGTGTTATTGCCCTTGTTTCACTTTGTTGAATCTTGTCAACGCTCTAATGCCAACAGTTATCATCCAATCTGTTTGAAATTGATATGCATCATTTAAATTAGTGAAATGAAAAAACCTATTGAATTTCAGCAATTTCCATTAATTTCTATGGCCCTTCTTTCACTTTGTTGAATCTTGTGAACACTCTAATGACAACAGTTATCATCCGATCTGTATGAATTTTATATGTATCGTTTAAATTTGAAAAACGAACAAGCCTATTGAGTTTCAGCAAATTTCTGTTGATTACATCTAGAGTTATGGCCCTTGTTTAGCTTTATTGAATCTTGTGAACGCTTGAACGACAAAAGTTATCACTTAATCTGTATGAAATTCATATGCATCATTTAAATCAGTGAAATGAAGAAGCCTATTGAATGTCAGCAATTTCCGTCAATTTCTTCAAGAGTTATGACCCTTGTTTTACATTTTTGAACCTTGTGAACGTTTGAACGACAAAAGTTATCATCCTATCTGTATGAACTTTATATGCATTATTTGAATTAGTAAAACGAAAAAGCCTGTCGAATTTCAACAATTTCTGTAGATTACTTCCAGAGTTACAGCCCTTGTTTTAGTTTTTAGAACCTTGTGAAACCTCAAACAACGAAAATTATAATGTCATCTGTATGAAATTGTCTATTAAATTCCCCTAATTACCTACAAAAGAATAAATATGTGACAACCTTTGTCGACTGCTCAGACGATTTAGCTGCTGTGGGCGTATGTTTTGTTGCCTGGCAACCTATCTTTAATAAAAAAAAGAAGTAACTTTTAATAAAAAATGAACTGTTCTTTGAAAATACAAAAAAAGTAGTTGCTTTTTAACTGACCAATCTCCTTAGGAGATATCGCAGTAGATTATGAAATTTATCACACAAGCGATATCTATTGTAGAATGTATTATTGGGTGGAAAATATATATATATATACATGATGTGCATTGTGTACATGTAAGTAGACCTTTTCTGAAAGTGGTTTAGTACATGCGTGTAGATTTAGAGACAGAAAAAAGGGTTTAAGTGTATTCTAATATGAACAAGAAATTCAAACACTAATCAGAGCGACAGAGCCTTTGATCTCTGTTTTATACTCTCAAGAATAACCCTTTTTTATGTTACTAAAATAAATGAATGGGAACATACATGTAGTCATACTTCCAAGAATAACATCATTTTCTTCTTTATTCTGTTAAAAAGTTGTAAGGGAATCTATTTGTACACTTGGTATAATTGAAGCACTAGTTGATTTAATTGAGCTGCCAAAAGATCTAGAACATGCTGAAAATCTCATCAATATAAATGCTGTATATTGTGCATGATGGAATATTTGATACATTGATGATTTTTACCTTATTTTTAATAGGTTGAAAGGGAAATAGCCATCATGAAATTAATTGAACATCCACATGTTTTAGGATTATATGATGTCTATGAAAATAAAAAGTATTTGTAAGTATTATTTTAAATATTTATTTGCCTTTTGGGGAAGGCGCTGGCTCGCTAGCCTGGTGGTCGCATGTTCGATCCCTGCATTGGCCAAGAAAGTTCATTGTGATTTTCCGACATGGTTTCCCCTTGTTAGTGGTGCAGGGGGGGTGGATGGTTAGCATGTGCATGCTATATCATATGGTCTGTCATTGAGTCAACTGGCGTGGTTTCGAATCCCTGGTTGTAAATGACAAGGAGTAGGGTCGCCTGTCAAACCTCGTGGGTTTTCTCCGGGTCCTCCGGTTTCCTCCCACTGCTAAAGACCCCTACGCTTAAGCGAATTATAGAAATAAAATTGAACCATGTGTTAATGACCTAGTTTGTGTCGAGTGGACGTTAAACCCCATTTCTCTCCCTCTCTCTTTTTGTTATACGCCCACATTGAAATGTGGATGTATATTGCCGTCGCCCCCGTCGGTCCGTCCGGCGGTCCATCGTCCACAATTTCTTGTGAACGTTCTAACGCCAAAAGTTATCATCCAATTGTTTTAAAATTGATATATGTTGTTTACATTAGTGAGATGAAGAAGCCTATTTAATTTCAATAATTTCTGTTTATTACGTCTAGAGTTATGCCCCTTGTTTCACTTTATTGATCCTTGTGAACGCTCTAACGTCAAAAGTTATCATCCGATCTTTCTGAAATTTATATGCATTATTTAAATTACTGAAACGAAGAAGCCTATTAAATTTCAGCAATTTCTGTTTATTACGTCTAGAGTTATGGCCCTTGTTTCACTTTATTGATCCTTGTGAACGCTCTAACTTCAAAAGTTATCATTCGATCTCTCTGAAAATTATATGCATGGGCGCAGATCGCCAAAAATTAGTGGTGGGGACAGTCCATGGTAAAAAGGGGGGGTCATCCACCAAATTTTTTTTGAAAACTAGACGCTCTAAAACGCACTCTGTGGGTATTTTCAGCATCATTTTCTGGCAAACAATTCTAATCCCTGAGGCAGCAAATGGTACGAAATCTAATCTAAAGACAAATCTTCAAGCCACCTTAAACGATTTATTCTCTCATGTACACTACAAGAACTAGAAATATTTACACTACTGAGGTTCCAGCTCCGCGCCTCCATTCCCAGTAGTGTTCGAAGACTACTAAAGTCTTTGAGAAAAATGTGTATTCAATTGGGTACACCAATGTACAGGCCTACAAATCTTTTAATTTATATACATGTAAACTAAAACAAGCCACACACACAGCTAAACATATCAATATTCAATCCCAATTGAAAGAAATGTAACATTTTACATCCAGTATACCAGATAAAAACAAAATCTCAGTTATTCCTTTACCCTTTAATACCCAGCGTATCAGATATGCACACCTTCATGATATACATATTATTATAATCCCTATGGAATATTTTAATTATTTACTGTTATAATATGAATAATCACTTATTCCCTGTTAAAGGCTCAATACCACTCTTGTTGTAACTGAATAATATGTCCCAATCTTTATTCTGGTCAACAAATTGTACTATTTTAGAATATTTCAATTAATTGATGATACAAATTTCATCTTAACACACCTTATTTAAAAAATTTGAAAAATTCAACATAATGGTTTGAAACGTCTAACGTAAACCTTTTCAAATGAAACTTCGATTTAAAAGTATTTTCGAACCCTCTGGACAAGTAAAATAGGATGTAATGGATAATTTACACAACAGATAGGACACTTTAACATCTAGTACTTAGATAGAAATATTATTTATTTTCTGGAGCTTTCAAGCCAGCAAGAGTGTTATTGTCCCTTTAAACAAAAATCGGTCACCGGGTGCAGCTGTACAACTTCAAGGACCCTGACCTCAAGTGCCTGGGGCCAACTCTACACTTTCTGAAATGTCAATAAAAGCTCTGGAATGATTTCAATTTCAAAAAATAAACAGTAAGCAAAAACATTGGAAATAAGTGGTGGGGACACAGTATATTATGTCCCCACCACTGAAAATATAGGTGGGGACGCGTCCCGGTGTCCCCACCGGGATCTGCGCCCATGATTATATGCATTATTTAAATTAGTGAGACAAAGAAACCTATTGAATTTCAACAATTTCTGTTTATTACGTCTAGAGTTATGGCCCTTGTTTCACTTAATTGAACCTTGTGAACTCTCCAACACCAAAAGTTATCACCCAATCTTTGTGAAATCTATATGCATTATTAAGATTAGTGAAACGAAGAAGCCTATTGAATTTCAGCAATTTCCGTTTATTGCGTCTAGAGTTATGGCAATTGTTTCACTTTATTGATCCTTGTGAATGCCCTAATGCCAAAAGTTATGACCCGATCTTTGTGAAATTTATATGCATGATTTAAATTAGTGAAATGAAAAAGCCTATTGAATTTCAGCAATTTACAATAATTACTTCTAGAGTTATTGCCCTTGTTTCACTTTGTTAAACCTTGATTGATGAAAGTTATCATCCGATATGTATAAAATTTTTATGCATCATTTAAATTTGTGAAACAGGTCTATTGAATTTCAGCAATTTCCGTCAATAATTTCTAAGGTTATGGCGATTGTGAACGTTTGAATGACAAAAGTGATCATGTGATCTGTATGAAATTTATATGCATTATTTAAATTAGTAAAACGAAAAAGCCTGTCAAATTTCAACAATTTCTGTAGATTACTTCCAGAGTTGAGACCCTTGTTTCAGTTTGTAGAACCTTGTAAACCCTCAAACGACAAAATTTATAATCTGGATCTGTATGGAACTGTCTTGTAAAGGCCCCCAATTACCTGCAAAGGAATAAATATGCGACAACCCTTGACGACCGCTTGGACGATTTAGCTGCTGTGGGCGTATGTTTTGTTGCCTGGCAACCTATCTTTTCACACCAGTCTCTATCTGCCGGATAAGGCTAACAAATGATAGACAGTTTTTACCATCGTAGCTTATCAGCCCGTTGATTTTGAAGTCCTTCCTCAACAACGAAGAGGTTAACATAGTCGATCAAGACGAATTACTTAAAGACGAATTACTCACAAGCACTTGTGGTTTGGATTCGTTACTCTTAGAGATGTTTGACGGCTGACTTACAGGTGCAGGTGTTTGTTCTACAGTATTCGATACTGTTAAGGGCTTCCGAACGAGATTAAAGCTCGGAAGAAAATCATTTAGTTCATTATAGATGGTTTGGTCGTCGCCATCCTCTCCTTCCGCATCCAAGAATTCTGAAATCAGTTTCTGTGCCCCTAACCAATTAAGAGCTGATGTATCACCAACTGTTATCTTTCAGCGGTTTGTAGTATATTTAGTTTTAAAACTGTATAAATCTCTCAGTGACATTAACATTTCTTTTCATTAAAAGTACACTGCATTCCATAATATTCTATCCATGTTGTTTCCTGCCTAATTTATGAAAAGCCTTACCATTCAAAATCTACAAACACCACATTGGCGAGGAGATAAAAACTGATAAAAATGAGTAAATTAGGTCACATAGAAGAGTTTAATATGGATTCGGGTGATTTTAATGCATACATTGAAAGAGTAGAGCAGTATTTCATTGCTAATGATGTAGAGGAAGACAATGGAGCAGAAAGGGTTCCTATCTTCATATCTCTCATTGGTAGTCAGACTTATTCCTTGCTAAAAGATCTTGTTGCACCGGCAGCGCCATCCACCAGGACTTTTCAGGAATTAATAGACATCCTTAAAGTGCACTGCATTCCATAATATGCATACAACCTGACATAACTCTTTTGTAATAGAGATGAATAAATATCACTTCCTGTTCTGACTTCCATCCATGTTGTTTCCTGCCTAATTTATGAAAAGCCTTACCATTCAAAATCTACAAACATCACACGGTTGATAACTTCTATTAAGACATCTAAAGGTGACTGGAACAATCTGCCCTTTACACTATAAACCAGCATTTCTTCAGCCATCTTCACTTGTATGAGAGAATTCCGGACAAGCATCCCAAATGTTGCCCACCGTCTCTCTTTGAGGGGTCAAGTGATGATTCGGTAAACCAGTGAAGAAATGAATGACAATTTGGTGAATTTGAAAAATGGTGTTTATTACGGAAGGGAAAGATGGCGACAACACATACAACATGGTTTTCTTTTTGTGACAAAGTTTATTTGTCTTTAAAAACTGTCTTTATTCAATACGGTTACAAAACAGAGATTTGACAGCGCAGCAATGCTGTTGACTGTTAGCTCTCGTTCCCGCTCTCTCACTGACTCGCTCACTGTATCCAGAAAGACCACTACTACATGTAGCTGTGCTATAAATAGATCTCATGTAAGCATGCAAGCATAGCACGTGAACACAATCTTAAAGGGACAACACACACGGTCACACTCTCCCCAACTTTAAAGAAAATGCATCCCTGCATTTTGGATAATCTAGAAATGTACAAAATAACTGAATTCCAAATAACCTATATCCCGAATAGATGTACAACATAAATGACAAACTTTAAACAAGTGAAAATAAAATACATGTAATTAATAATAGAAAGAAAGTACTATATAACCAAAATACAGTCCAAGAAACCAATGTGTCAGTATTAGTTATTCTGATTCAGGACAGATCCTATTTCGCGTATGGCTGTTGCCATCAATGAGTTGCTTAACCGAAGTAAAACGTTCGAATTATCAGTTGAAATGTTATTGTTTGTAACACTAACAGGAAGTTTATGAACATTTGAATGTTGTCCACGATTTTTACGTACAGAACGCCTCAAACCGGAATTCCCCAATGGAACATCAACGGGCGCGACAGATAAAATACCCGCATCATCCATAAAGGATGGCGAAACATCGGTATCCTGGGTCTCACCATAACTTAAATCCTGAGAATTCTCGTCCCTTTTCGCAGTTGAACCAGTATCACCAGGAACAACATTGTCATCATTCGGTTCGCTCTGATAAACAGGGCAGAGTTTTAGTTTGGTTCTGTGGACAGTCTTAGTTATACTGGTGT